GAGAGAGAGAGAGAGAGAGAGAGAGAGAGAGAGAGAGAGACAAAACCTCTGTGGTGGAATAATTAATTTGCACCCATTTCTTTTAAATTCCCGAGCAGTTAAAAGAGCAAGTCTTCTTCTCTCCCCCCCCACTTTCTGTTTTTTAATTTTCCCCAGCCATCTACTTTGTGTGTCTGCGTGTGTGTGTCTGTGTTACTAATGAAGTTTGCAGACTTGTGTTTGTATCCGTGAGCTCCTTTCCTGCTGCCCCTTCTTCTCTGGGCTGGTTGTGCGGTTCCCGCAGCCCCTGCGAGCCCCCAGCAGCAGCGGCAGCTTCAGCTTCTCTAAGTCCGGGGCTGCGCGTCATTTGCAGTCTGGAGAATGTTGATCACCTCACTAATTACACCTCGCTCTCTCTCTCCTCTCCTCTCCCTCGCTCTCTCTCTCTCATTCCCAGAGTGCATATCGGGAATAGACACACAAAGACATGCGCACTCAACTTAATCAGCCATTTTTTTAAACAGGGCTAAAACGATAATAATTAGCAGAATAAAGACATATCGGATTTTCATTTCCTTTCCTCCTTTTCCCAACCCCTTCACAACCAAACAGCGAGACCGCGGTCGGCACATGCTTTAACAACTCCCGGACCCCAAAGGACCGCTCCATGCCCCCCACTTCTTGCTCAATCATTTTGATTTTCACCCAATAAAGTTGGAGGATTATTTTTTTTTGATGACTATTTTTTTTTTAATGAACCTTCTCTCGTTTACTTGGATGTGATCAGCTGTTAAGTAAATAAAGCAAAACACAAACAAAAAAAAGAGAGGCGAAGATCCAGTAGGAACTGCGAGGGGAAATGGAAAGTAAGTTTTTTCTTTAACTTTTATTGAGTAGTTTGTGTTAAATTTAGGTCGAGTATCGATTATCTTTCCAGGCTGATCTTGCACAATCTTTGATATTTCGCTCTCGCTCGCTCGCTCCCTCTCTCTCTCTCTCTCCCTCTCTCTCTCTGCCTCTTTCTCTCTCTCTCACATACACACACACACTCACACTCCCATCCCCAGATCCCATGTATCTCTCCCTCTCTCTCTCCCCCCTTTTTTTTCTGCCTCTTTCCCCATTTTTAGGTACAGTGTTTGCTCTCATTTGGGGGAGGAGGGACAGCCTTTTCTCTCTCGCTCGCTCGTGATGATGATTTTTGCCTTGCTTGCTTTAATTCTGGGGGGTTTCGGTTTTCTTGCTCGGGCTGGAACTTTTGGCTGAAGTGGCGGACCCCGCGCGCTGGGCGGCCGAGGTTTGGAGGAGGAGGAGAATGAGGAGGATTTATTTATTTTGCGGGGGTTTTTTTGGGGGGGGGGGCTTGTCACTTTAGGCAAGATGTTACGGCTGTCAGAAGTCCTCGCCTGCAGGTCCCCTGCTAGTCCGCTCCCCTCGCTCGCAGCCTGATGCCTCCTCCCCCCCCTTTTTTTAATTACGTTGGAGTTGGTTCCATGGGGAGATCACCTTAGACTGCCAGGTGAGACCTCTGTGGGGCTCCTCCTCCTCTATACCCCACCCTTACCACGTCATGACCATTTATCCACACAGCTACACAGGGGACAGCCTCTACTGTCTAATGAAGGGCTGTTGTGCTATGGCCAGGGCCTAAAGAAAACAAAATCTGGGACCCACAGTCAGCCCTAGAAACCAGCACTCTAGTAGGAAACTGTCCCTCTAAATCCAGGGCCTGTGTCTATCCCTGCCTAGCAGCAGTAAATTAGCTTCAGTCCCAGGAATCCAAACAGAAAAGAAAAGAAAACAAAGAACTAGGAGACTGTGGTGTGGACACCTACACAGTCATATGGGTCACTAATTGGCTGGAGGGCTGCACCCAGAAATAGTCCCTTTGGGCTTTGGAGGTCAATCCTATCCTCCCAGAGAGCTGATCCCACTAGATCCTCTCCCTTCCCCTCTCTGGCACCTGCTCTGTGGCAGTGGTGTCAGATCAGCTTCATCAACGTGATCCTTAAGCTCCCACAGCATGGATTCCTTCAGCAGTGGCCCTCCAACCACTTGTACCTTTCTCCCAGTGCCTCAGCACTGCTGAAAACTACAGGAAGGAATTGGAGAGAGAGTTTCATAGTTTCATAGTTGGTAGGGTTGGAAGGGAC